GGAAGGACAATGATGTTAATGACAGTGATGTTGGCAATAACATGAAGCTGCTGATATGTCCATGGCTTCCATTCTGAACATTTTCTATGGCCTGGAGAAGACATAACTTAACAAAGCTGAAAAACCTAAAACTGGAAGTGACAAAAATGAGGATTTTAAACTCAATATTAAGAGTTAAATGGCACTCCCTGATATAAAATGTCGTTGCAAGACAGGGATTAGAATATTCAACCAAAGTGACCGGTAAACTGCAAACAAAGCATTGAAAATGGTGAAACCAGTGCCGACGAATGAACGATAGCCGCTTTACGAAACGGATACTGAACGTAAAGTCTAATAACAGGTGGCTGCCAGGAAAACTTCCAACAAGGTAGGAAGGTCTCATTAGAGCTGACAAGAATTCAGAAGGACTGAAAATCTGAACACGCATTTTTTCATTCCATTAGGAATGCTTATAAGACACTCGGCACTGACGTCGATGCAATAGAATCAGAAGAAAAAAATTTTTTTGCAGAATGAATGATTTCCTCGAAAATTGGTACATATGAAAAATTTTGCCAATCTTTATTACGACATGAGGAGTAGATGCCGACCCGTAGGTCTGTAACATATCCAAGTCGCAAGAATTCAATGAAGCTAATTATGATAAGGTTCTTCCGTCCTTCCGCCCTTCCGTTGACTGCTACCCTAATGACGAATGGACTTCCGACTAACAATTGAATCATATCTCCTGTTTATTGGACCGGGTTGCTCAATCAGCTGAAGCGTTTCATTCAGTACAGGGAGATCCCAGGTTTCTAGTCTTGGTCAGGTCACTCACCTTTCTTCTTTCCAAAGTTGATGAATGAGTACCATTCAGTGGGAAGAAAACGGGGGGTTACACACTATGCTTGCCGCATAGCTACCATCGACTATGCGTTCAGAATAAAGCATTGCCGGCTGGGGCATAGAAATGGAGACCTGCGTTCCACAGACAATGTCATGAAAGAAAGACGCCAGAAATTGTCCCGTCGTGTAAGTGCAAGAAAGAAAAACTTACCATCTCCCTTCTTTGATAATATCATCGCTTGAACTGCACTGCTTACATATTCGTCAGAAATTTTTCATGCAGACTAATCAGCGGAACCTACTTTCTCCTCAGCTTCCATTTCAAATCTGTCCAAATCACACTAAGTACAATACTACCTGATCAGTAACTCGTATCGTTAAGGAGTCACGATCCAAGTTGAGCATGGCTGATGTTGCGAAAGGAGCGAGGCTAATGTGAAGCAAGTTTGCTTCGTTCGAATATCTGAAAAAATTTTTGGTCAGGTCTAGGCACTCAGGAGTGGCATAAGGGAGTCCAATAATGCGTGAAAGACATTTAGCGGTACCAAGTCACAGATTGAACGTTTGAGGTGACAGCATGTTGTGCAAATTATTTCAAAGACCACGAAAGAGTGAGCGAGCCATTTTATGCACGAAAAGGTGCTCAGGTTTGTTCCCTATGTTTTCCTGGTGCATAGGAAAGGCGCTCATCGTTCATTGTCATATCTGCACTGTTTAGCAGACGAACACTACTTTGATTGGTATTTGGCTGGCTTTGAAGAATTCAATGCAAAACCAAAGCAGAAACAGACTGTTCTACCATCTCCACCCGGCATGACACCTGCTTGTGTCATCAGGACATGTTTGGTGAGTCATGTCGCTCTTCTTTCTTCGTTTCTGAGTAGTCAACCGGTGCCATTTTCTAAACCGAAAACTGTAGATGCACTACACTCGCAACACTGCCTTTAAATGAGGCACTACTTTCAACGTCGTATCGCACTACTTTCAACAACTTCAATAGAAGAAGGACATCACAAATGGGGCCCGCCATGTAAGTGCAAAGGAATCAGACATGCCAAAAATTGCAAGCTGTCCATCCGAAAAGTTTGGGGAAAATTTATCCAATTTAAACATTTTAACTGACAGAAATAATTTTGATTTCGAAAGCTCATTTCAATTCTGTCTTCTTCAGTCGTTTCGTTCCAAAGACAAATTATTAACCGATATTGAAACGTTGCCCACACTACCGGCGTTTCGGTCAAACATTTACCGTCATCAGAAAAACAGTAGAATCAGTAATAATATCACCTGACTTTAAAGTCCTTTTTAAAATTAACCTATCTGAACTGTTTATTTTTTAAATAAATTTATAAATTAATGTGACTGATCACTATGCAGCAATTCACTGTTTTCATTTAAGTCACAAACCTATTTTCCACCTTGCTACATGCATGTTAACCATTCAGCTTTCGCTCCATTAGCCTACCTTTACCATGCCGATATATCTGCACGAAAGAAAGGACCCAGATCGATTATGGCCTAACCTAATCTTTCACCTCGCAGGCTGGTCACAAATTAAAAGATAAATTTGAAATGCCTGAAAGGAAGCTGAATATGACTGACCATACTCTGACTGCTGAGAAACTTTACTGAACAGATGGAAGTATAATGCTTTAGCCATATTTCGTTCGAACCAGGATTCTTCAGCGATGATACTCTCAGCTCGCTTGGCAAATTAACTTAAAGGAAAGGCTT